TACAAAGTTCTCTCACCACCATACACCGTTTCTCACCACCATACACCGTTCTCTCATACATCCCTGAAGTTACCAGTTGCTAACGTCATATGTGTTTGATCCTCACCTTGTTATAATTAGTGTGTGTGTGTGTGTGTGTGTGTGTGTGTGTGTGTGTGTGTGTGTGTGTGTGTGTGCGTGTGTTGTAATAATAATAATAATAATAATAATAATAATAATAATAATAATAAACGGTTTATTGAAAGGTTCTGCAGGAAGGCTGAGAATATACATTGGACAAAAATGACTTATTACATACATTGGTGGTTTAACAAAAGCCTTCATTAGAAAGGTAAAGGAACATACAGTGAACATACAGATTAATGTTTACACACGTAGATCATGTGAGCTGAGGTGTTGAACAGCAGACACGTAGTGTAGTACTCACAGATGGCGTTATGAGGGCATCACGTGGGTACTAGTTCCCTCACAGATGGTGTATGAGGGGCCTGATGATGTAGTAACTCCCTCACAGATGGCGTTATGAGGGGCATCACGTGGAGTACTAGCTCCCTCACAGGTGGTGTTATGAGGGGCTTGACGTGGTGTAGTAATTCCTCACAGATGGTGTTACAGGGGCCTGATGTGGTGTAGTAATTCCCTCACAGATGGTGTATGAGGGCATTACGTGGTGTAGTAATTCCTCACAGATGGTGTTATGAGGGGCATCATGTGGTGTAATAATTCCCTCACAGATGGTGTTATGGGGGCATCACGTGGCGTAGTAATTCCTCACAGATGGTGTTATAGGGGCATCGTGGTGTAATTCCTCACAGGTGGTGTTATGAGGGCATCACGTGGTGTAGTAATTCCTCACAGATGGTGTTATGAGGGGCATCACGTGGTGTAGTAATTCCTCACAGATGGTGTTACGAGGGGCTGATGTGGTGTAGTAATTCCTCACAGATGGTATTATGAGGGGCATCATGTGGTGTAATAATTCCCTCACAGATGGTGTTATGAGGGGCATCACATGATGCTGTAGCAACTCATTCACTACGTGGTGTCGTAGCATCATGGGACACCACGTGGTCACGGGACCTCACTCACTGAGGTGTGGTCCCAGGCCTCCCCATCGTGTGTGTGTGTGTGTGTGTGTGGTGTGTGTGTGTGTGTGTGTGTGTGTGTGTGTGTGTGTGTGTGTGTGTGTGTGTGTGTGTGTGTGTGTGTGTGGTAGAAGATTATTGGTCACAACAGAAGTTCTTGTAGCGTTTCTGTCAACTCCTACTATACGTTAAACTACAGTGTCAACTTCTGGGACAATTTCTTTTATATTTTGGTTACGATCTGAACGAGTTGATAATGATCCCTAACGAGTTGGTAATGATCCTAACGAGTTGATAGTAATCCCTAACGAGTTGGTAATGATCCTAAAGAGTTGATAACGATCCCTAACGAGTTGGTAATGATCCTAAAGAGTTGATAACGATCCTAACGAGTTGATAATGATCCTAAAGAGTTGGTAATGATCCCTAACGAGTTGGTAATGATCCTAAAGAGTTGATAATGATCCTAAAAGAGTTGGTAATGATCCTAACGAGTTGATAATGATCCTAAAGAGTTGATAATGATCCCTAAGAGTTGGTAATGATCCTAACGAGTTGGTAATGATCCTAAAGAGTTGGTAATGATCTAACGAGTTGGTAATGATCCTAACGAGTTGATAATGATCCCTAAAGAGTTGATAATGATCCTAAAGAGTTGGTAATGATCTAACGAGGTTGGTAATGATCCCTAAAGAGTTGATAATGATCCTAACGAGTTGGTAATGATCCCTAACGAGTTGATAATGATCCCTAAAGAGTTGGTAATGATCCCTAACGAGTTGGTAATGATCCCAAAGTTGGTAATGATCCTAACGGGTTGGTAATGATCCCTAACGAGTTGATAATGATCCTAAAGAGTTGGTAATGATCCCTAACGAGTTGGTAATGATCCTAAAGAGTTGGTAATGATCCTAAAGAGTTGGTAATGATCCCTAACGAGTTGATAATGATCCTAAAGAGTTGATAATGATCCTAAAGAGTTGGTAATGATCCCTAACGAGTTGATAATGATCCCTAAAGAGTTGGTAATGATCCTACGAGTTGGTAATGATCCTAAGAGTTGATAATGATCCTAAAGAGTTGGTAATGATCCTAACGAGTTGATAATGATCCTAACGAGTTGGTAATGATCCTAAAGAGTTGATAATGATCCCTAACGAGTTGATAATGATCCTAAGAGTTGATAATGATCCCTAAAGTTGATAATGATCCCTAGAGTTGATAATGATCCCTAAGAGTTGATAATGATCCTAAAGAGTTGATATGATCCTAAAGAGTTGATAATGATCCCCAGAGTTGGTAATGATCCTAAGAGTTGATAATGATCCCTAACGGGTTGGTAATGATCCTTAAGAGTTGATAATGATCCTAAAGAGGTTGATAATGATCCTGAGTTGATAATGATCCTTAAAGAGTTGGTAATGATCCTAAAGAGTTGATAATGATCCCTAAAGTTGATAATGATCCCTAACGAGTTGGTAATGATCCTAAAGAGTTGATAATGATCCCTAACGAGTTGGTAATGATCCCTAAAGAGTTGATAATGATCCTAAGAGTTGATAATGATCCCTAAAGAGTTGATATGATCCTAAAGAGTTGATAATGATCCCTAAAGTTGATAATGATCCTAACGAGTTGGTAATGATCCTAAAGAGTTGATAATGATCCTAAAGAGTTGATAATGATCCTTAAAGTTGGTAATGATCCTTAAAGAGTTGGTAATGATCCTAACGAGTTGATAATGATCCCTAAAGAGTTGATAATGATCCTTAAAGAGTTGGTAATGATCCTAAAAGAGTTGATAATGATCCCTAACGAGTTGATAATGATCCCTAACAGGTTGGTAATGATCCCTAAAGAGTTGATAATGATCCCTAAAGAGTTGATAATGATCCCTAAAGAGTTGATAATGATCCCTAAAGAGTTGGTAATGATCCCTAAAGAGTTGATAATGATCCTTAAAGAGTTGATAATGATCCTTAAAGAGTTGGTAATGATCCTTAGTAGGTCGAGGTTGTGAAGGAGTTATATCCTCTCTCTCTCTCTCTCTCTCTCTCTCTCTCTCTCTCTCTCTTTATCTCTCTCTCACAAACCTCTGTCTTATCTCGTTCCTCAGACTTACTCTCAGTCCCTTTGTCTTTGTTCCAGGCTTGTGGTGTATATATGTGTATGTGTTTGTGTGTGTGATAATAATAATAATAATAAACGGTTTATTAGAGTTACAGCCGGTGGCCGAAAACAAACCAACTTACATTTGATTTAGACATAATGATATGCGTTCAATACATTTACAGGGCTGTACAGTACATAAATCAGGAGTTGTTTATTATTTTAACAATAGATGGGATGGTGCTGTTCTTATATCTATCGGTGCGGGCTCTTATGGGCTGAATTTTGTTGTAGTGGCGGACTGCGCGAGGTGGGTGGGGGACTGCCAGTGGCAGGAGGTGGCGATGACGAGGATGGTGCAGTGGTCCACTGCCAAACCTTGCTAGTGCTTGGTGGTGGAGGTCACTGAGGGATGGCATTTCCAGGGTGGAGAGAGCGTTGGTGTAGCCCGAGTAGTCTGCGCCGAGCATGATTCTGCAGGCCCTTTTCTGTTCCTTCTCTAGCTGACGTTGTTGGGTGGAGTTGAGAGAAGACGACCAGGCTGGTGACGCATACGTTAGTTTGGGGAGAATAAAGGCGTTGTAGATGGTCCTCAGCTCTGGCGTGGGTGTCCCAAGTGACCTGAGTCGTCGTAGCGTGTAGAGAGGGTACGAGGCTGCCTTGATTGTGTTGTTTACATGGGCCTTCCAGTCCAGTTTGTTATCTATGGTAACACCCAGGAGTTTGGCAGACTGCACTAACTGTGTGTGTGTGTGTGTGTGTGTTAAATAAATGTTGACACCAATTCATTAAAGTATGTAGTGTGCTGACTAAACCTAACGTAACCAATAACTGATGTGGGTGATGCTGCATTACACTTACAAAAAAAACCCACATCCTTCACACGCGTAAGATCACAGTCAGATAGATCAGTAAAGGCGGATATCGGGGTTCTTTACCATTGCTCAAAAGTATCATCGTTAAGAAGATAGTTATGTGTAAAGACAGTTGTTAGAGGAAGTTATATAAACGTGGCCACTATAGTCCTCCATTAAGTTGTATCCGTTGTCAATATCTTAACATAATGTTGTAGAAATGTTTATCAATAGTTACTAATAAATATATCTCGTGTTACAGTGTTTGTCAAAAGTGTTGTTTTCAGCAGTAATAAGTTTATCGTGTACAACCTTGCCAGCCAAGCAGTACGTCTGCCAGTCTGCCAGCCAGCTACCACACCGGTCATCCGGCCAGCCAACCAGTTACCCAACACACCAGTCAACCAACCAGTTAGCCAGCACGCCTGCCAGCCAGCCAGGCAGTCGGTCAGTAAGCCAGGAGTGACAGTCATTTATGGCTTCAATTAAATTCAAATTTTTATTGTAGTTAAAAAAATGTGTCGGAGGCGTTAGTAAATTTGTTAAAGTAAAGTTACCATAACTTCTATTTGTTATAATATTACTAATGTTCTGTTAAGAGCTGAAGACAATGTTGACGCTCTGAAGTTGATTAAGAAAACCTGTCGATCTGAGACGAGATAAAAGTTTTGGAAAGTAACTAACCTTGATTTATAATTGTTAATGGTGAGTTAAAATACAAAGAGTGTGTTAATAATTACTGATTGGTTAATGTAATATTAACATCCTGTATTTATTAATAAAAATCTCCAATTTGAAACAATTTGAAGATTTTGAAATGTCTATTTACCTTGGCGTTCACCTCTTAGTTTTGACCCATAATAAATATGTTGATCAAGTAGTAATTAGCAATTGGTTATAAATGTGTCAATAAGAAAACACAAACTATAACATACAGGTGGTGATGACTTACCTGTACGTGGTGACGCGGGATCCAGGTGTGCAGCGGTTTAAAAATTAATAATTTCCTAAATCAAGTTTTAACAGTTTCCGACATCACTTTCTACATCAGTTTATCCTCTCGCGGTTTAACACTTTCTTGATACCGACTCACAGTAAACAAGTGAATTAAAAAGTTGTTGTTTTCACGTATTTAATTCGAGCTGTGTGTTTATATATGTACATTACACTATGTTCAGCGCGGCCAGTGTTGTATGACGGCGTGTGCGACAACCACACACACGAATACAACAACAGGTGTATGAATGAGTGTGAGAGTGAGCCCGCGTGTATCTGTGTGTGGGAGAGAGGAGCAACTCTCACTCACTCACTCACTCACTCCCGCTCTCCCTCCGCCACTCTCGCGCGAGTATGGGTGACGAACACTGTCCAGGGATCGCGCGCCTACCTCTCTCTTGCCCTGCCTCCCGCGCCACGCATACCCGCACGCCCTCCCCCGCGCATATCCACACACCTTCACAACCCTCCCACCTCATCGTATATCCAACCACACCTGTCTCCTGCGAATACCCGCTCTAACTTGCCTGATGATAGTGTGTGTGTGTGTGGAGGGGGCGGGGGGGGGTCAAACTTCGTAATGTCAGATATAAGCTGAGTGTCAAGTTTCTTTTTAAATTAGTATTTTATATTAAACGACGATACACAGTAACCCCCCCCCCTCCACACACACAGAGTAGGTCCATCAAAGTTCATGCATACACACACACACACACACACACACACACACACATATATATATATATACTGTATATATATACAGTATATATATATATGACGAGAAAATACATTAGACATATCTGGAGATAAGTACAGTACGCCTATTGTAATCTCTCACGAACCCTCCCTCGTTCTCCTCACCCCCCACCCCAAACACATTCAACTAAAAAAAATGGATTACATTCAACACTTTCCAGTTTCTCTTGTACATATTCGATTACCTCCTACGTTATTTTGTTATCAACTTAAATATCAGTCTTTTATTATTATTATTATTATTATTTGTATTATTATTATTATTAATGTTGTTATTATTATTTTGTATTGTTTTTTGTATCTTCCCTCAGCTTTAAGACTTGAGTAACGCAACTTTTTTCCTTTGCTTAATATACAGTGGTGCTCACCTAACACTCTTCCTCCCATAATAATAACAATACCAGTAATAATAATAATTATAATAATTACTTGTACATTAACATTACAGACTCGTGGTGGGGCTGGACTAAACCATAATAGTAAAGAAGAAGAAGAAGAAGAGAGAAAAGATGATAGCCGTGACGCAGGTCAGGGCTCTTTAAGACTATCAGGAAATCTTGGGAAGACTTTAAACTCGTTAAGTAGTTTAAGTCAGGTGGCAACGTTACTTACCGCACTGATCTTCGTGTGCAAAACTTTCTTCTTCATATTACGATTGTTTAGACATATATTACCTTACGCTAAATAGGGATAACTGTGAAATAGCGACAACTACTGTGTGTATATAGTTTTGGTGGGGGAGGAGGAGTGTCCATAGATCATAATTATAATCATAATATATATATAGCTTAAGGCATTACCTAACATAACCTAACCTAACTCTACTTAGCTTTCTTTAGGTATGACTTGGTTATCTTGTGGTGGTAAACGATGTCTTAAAAGAAACAGCGAATTTTATACCACATATGAATTAATTTCCCTAAGCTGTCAGCAACAAAATCATAAATTTATCTCTTATCTGGCAAAATGTCAATTAGGTTTTAAAGTATAATCGACGATTATCCTTGTTAGCATCACACGCACACACACACTACATCTTTGACCACCGGAGGGCCAAGACCTATTGGGCGCCCGCTCCCACTGCGGAGCTGTTCCCTGGCCAATGTTGGCCCATTCCTCAAGTCCCTCTCCTCGACCCATCCTCACCACCGGGATATCAACATAATCCCGACAAAAGTGACATTTTCATTTCGGAAAGAAGTGAGATCAGTGTTGAACAGTGATGAACAGTGTTTAAGCCAGTGAATTCAGCACTAGACAGTACCAGTGAGAGCCGTGACCCACCACTGAGATAAGCACCCCTGGGAACTGACCGCCATCTTCTGACCAGGCGGTGTTAATCACTTCACCCTGGGCACAACAGTGGGTCGGCTTTCCACCTGACCATAAGATAACATAACGCCCTTAGCAGATAGTGAGTTACTGTGACACCACCCCACACCACCCGGTGTCTCCAAGACCACGTGAGGTCCTTCATATCAATACCTACGGACGAGTTACTAAACTACGTGGCCTACGTGACCTCACACAGTATGTTCAATTCATGGTCCTTCTCCTTTTGGTAATGAAAGATTTTGTTAAACGACCCAACTACCTCATGTCCTTGTGTGTAATAAGTCATTTCAATCCAGTGTATATTTTCAGCCTTGGGGCTACTGAACTTTTTCAATAAACCATTAATTATATAGTTATTATTATTATTATTATTATTATTATTATTATTATTATTATCATTATTATTATTATTATGATGCATGTGTATATAATAATGAATAATAATAATTAACGGTTTATTGAAAGAGCATAGCAGCCAGAAGGCTGAAAATATACAGTCACATAATTGGGGAATGGGTTTCGATTTACAAATAATATACAAGTAACATAAGTGATACAGATAAGATATATAATAACTAGATGGGGAAAAGCTCAAACTACAGGGCATTTCAACATAGTGACAGTGCAAGAAGTAGGATTTACTGGGAGTGAATACACTGGTTTATTACAAGTTATTGATAATTTTTACAATGGTTGGGACTGGGCTGTTCTTATAGCGATCAGTTCGTGCACGTACGGGCTGGATGCGGTTGTGGTGTCGAACAGCAATTCTCTGGCTAGGGATCTCAGGTGGTAGTAGGAGCCGGTGTTGAGGATGGTGCAGAAGCTTCTTACCAAATTTGCAGATGAGGTCGTGGTGATGGTCAGTGAGAGTCGAAAGGGTCAGTGTGTTGAGAGCTTCTTGATATGTGGAGTAGGAAGGGGAGAGAATAATCTTGCATGCCCTCTTATGCACTTTTTCTAGGTGTTTACGTTGTGTGGCATTTAGGGAGGAAGACCAGGTGGGGGAGGCATAGGTGAGCTTGGGAAGTATGAATGTTGAGTAAACACTGAGGAGCTCGGGTGCAGGAACTCCGAGGGACTTGAGTCGGCGGAGGAGGTGGAGACGGAAACTGGAGGATTTGACAACTTCACTGACGTGTGGTTTCCAATTTAGTTTGTTGTCTATGGTGATGCCGAGGAGCTTAGTGGAATCTACAACCTGAAGTGTGTTGGGACCTAAAGTAATGGAAGGGGGTGGGACAATGTCGGAGGAGAGGTTGATGTGCATAACCATGGTCTTGGTATGGTTGATGGTGACGTGGCTGTGAGGGTGTGGGGGAAGTGGGGCTAATTAGAGATAGTTGCGACAATAGCCGTTCCAGTAATTTAGGTGAGATGGTGATTCTGCGTGTAGTGATAGTAGTTATGGTGGTGAGCGTCCAGGAGTGCACACAGGAACAAGAGTCTGCTAAGAGAAGCAACACCAACAAGAAAATAACAAGTGGCAACGTTTATGCCAGAAGCGTCACATCACTCTATTTTTTGTTCTGGTATTATCAAGCAATGGAGTGTCGAAGTGAATAAATAAATATCTAAATAAAGTAATTTTTATTTAGTTTTTTTTTCGTCAGATTATCGAAGATCGATGACGTCCGTACCGAGGGAATCATTACGTTTATTTTCCTTCTCGGTCTTATCAAAAGTTTGCGATATCGAGGAAAAGTTTCCGGCCTGGAGACGTTGACAGCCATGAATGGATGACAACCCCTTGGAGTAATTTTCTTAATTTTCCTCATCCGAGTTCCGTTTCTCCTGGGTGTTATATAAGCGAGTGAAGGATCCATTAATTATATATCTCCGTTTAAGAGAGATTCAAATTTTTGTGGCCTTGGGAGGGTCACCTCGCCTTGTTGGGGGTCAGCTCTCTTGTTGGGAGTTAAGTAAGGTTGTGTTGGGTGAGGTTAGGTTATGTTTTCAGGGTTAGGTTAGGTTAGGTTTTTCAGGGTTAGGTTAGAGCCCATTAGACCCCGTTAAAGCCCGTTAGAGCCCTTTAGAACGCGATAGAGCTTATTGGAGCCTGTTAGAATCCATTAGAGCCCGTTAGAGCCCTTTAGAGCACGTTAGGGCCACAGAGCAGTAAAAAGACGTAAAAAATGCGTAAAAGGACGTATAAATACATCAAATGCGTAATATTGCGTAAAATGGTGTAAAAATACGTAAAAGGACGTAACTTTTTTTAAAGACGTAAAAGGTTGTAAAAAAGACGTACAAATATTTACGAGTACAGTACATACAACTATAAAAAAAGACGTTGGTCAAGTCTGATCTTGAAAGAGCTCACACTCAGTGCCGTCACAACACTCTCTGGCAGGATGTTCCAAGAATTCACAATCCTCACTCCGAAAAAGTTTGCCCTCATAGTTTTTTGGACTTGTGGCTGATTCAACCTTAAGCTGTGACCCCTTGTTGGGCGGACGTCTGCCAGCTCCAGGTACGTACGAGTAGTGCCCTGAGATGTTGATACACTTCGGTTAGGTCGCTCCTCGCCCGGCTGTAGTATAAGCTAGGTAGTTGCAGGCGCTCTAATCTCTCTGGGTAGCTGAGGTTCCGTAGAGCAGGCACCAGTCTGGTGGCCCTCCTTTAGACATTTTTAATCAACTGGCAATTTCTATCACCTCGGGGACCAGACAGGGTGACAGTACTCCAGACGGGGAAACACTGTGAGAGACCCGACACATTACAGAGGGGAACAAACACCCAAGCCACTTGACCTCATCATAACAAACGAGGAGGGTATGGTGGCCAAACTGGAACACCTTGCCCCAGTTGGCACCAGTCACCATACAGTGTTGTCATTCAGATTTAACTGTTACCTAGTTCAAGATAAGGCCAGGCCAAGGTGCAAATATTACAAGGGAAATTACAATGGGATGAGGGAAGAGATGAGGGGTATCAACTGGCCTGACTTATTAAGGTACAAGAACGCAGACACTACGCTGAATATCATAACTAGTAAAATGACCCATTTGATCGATAAATATATACCCAAGACCAAACCCAGTGCTTCTAGGAATACGAGGGGATCCCTACACATGAACCATGCGGCGGTCGACAAAATTAAGAAGAAAACCCAGAAATTCAAGACGTGGGTTGGGTCAAACGATGAGCAAGACAGGAGGATGTATGCAAGAGCCAGAAACCAAGCAAAGATAGAGTGTAGGAGGGCTGAAAAGGAGTTCCAAAGGCTGGTTGCACGCGAGGTCAAGTCAAACCCAAAGGCGTTTTACCGCTATGCAAAGTCGAAATTGAAAACGCGAGTAGGAGTATCAGACCTGAGGCTTGAAGATGGTAGTTACGCAGATTCTGACCAGGATAAAGCTGAGGCATTGAACAGCTTCTTTTCCTCAGTGTTCACAAGAGAGGATGCAACTAACCTTCCTGCGTTTGAGGACAGACGGTTCGACACAGCACTGACCCACATTGTGTTCACAGAAGAGGGTATTAGAAATAAACTGTCCAGGCTAAAGGTCCATAAGAGTCCTGGACCTGACATGGTGCATCCTAGAGTGCTAAGGGAGCTGTGCAACGAGCTTGCAGAGCCCCTGAAGATTCTGTTTTGTAAATGCCTGGATGAACAAATGGTCCCCAGTGAATGGAAAGTGGCTTATGTGAGTCCTATCTTCAAGAAGGGCGATAGGCACTCCACGAACAACTATAGACCGGTGAGCCTGACCAGCATAATATGTAAAGTACTTGAGAGTATTATCAGAGATGCAGCGATGGAACATCTACTACGAAACAACCTTGTAAAAGATTGCCAACACGGTTTTATGCCGGGGCGCTCTTGCTTGACACAATTGCTCAAGGTATTGGATATTTGGACCCATATTCTAGAACGGGGTGGTAATATCGACAATATTTACCTAGATTTTGCCAAGGCTTTCGACAGTGTACCCCACGAAAGGCTGAAAATCAAACTGGAAGGGTACGGAATTCGGGGAAATGTCCTAGCGTGGATAGAAGACTTTCTACATGACCGCAAGCAATGTGTGGTGATTAATGGCACGAAATCGTCATCTGTACCTGTAACAAGTGGGGTACCGCAGGGTAGTGTATTGGGCCCGCTGTTGTTTGTTTGTTTCATAAATGATATGCCTGACGTTGTACACTCCTCCATACAAATGTTTGCCGATGACGCCAAGTTATTTCGGGAAATTAAGAACCAAGCGGACTGTGAAGAGCTGCAGAAGGACCTCTGTGGGCTCCAGGAATGGTCGAAGGAATGGCTGCTGAGATTCAATGTCACGAAGTGTAAGAGGATGCACCTGGGGCGTACCAACGGTAAGGAGGCGTACCATATGTCCCAACGGGATGAAGAAAATGTACTAGTTGAGACTGTGTGTGAGAAGGACCTAGGTGTGTATGTTGACAATGAGCTGAAGTTCTCGGGCCATTGTGAGAAGAAGGTAAATCAGGCAAATAAATTATTGGGTCTTATAAGAAGGTCGTTCAGATATCTAGACGGTCCGTCCCTCGTGACGATCTTCAGGAGTGAAGTGCTTCCCCATCTGGAGTACTGTCACCCCATCTGGTCCCCGAGATATGCTAGGGACTGTCAGTTGGTTGAAAATGTTCAAAGGAGGGCCACCAAGCTGGTGCCTGCACTTCGGCATCTCAGCTACCCTGCGAGATTGGAGCGCCTGAACTTGCCTAGCTTATACTACAGACGGGCAAGGGGGGACCTAGTTGAGGTTTATAAGCATCTCAGGGGGCACTACTCAGTTGAGTGTCCTTACTTGGAGCTGGCGGACGCTCGCCCCACAAGGGGTCATAGCTCAAGATTGAAGAAGCCGCAAGTCCGGAAAACCGTGAGGGCAAACTTTTTCGGAGTGAGGGTTGTAAACTCTTGGAACAATCTACCAGAAAGTGTTGTGACGGCACCGAGTGTGAGCTCTTTCAAGAGAAGACTTGACCAACACTGGAGCGGGTTCAGGTACATTCAGGAGCCGGTGCATGCCCAGTATTTGCCAACAGTGCGTGACAGAGACGTGACCGATCGCCCGGGCGGCTAGCGAGCCGACCTTTTGGTGAAGAATATAAAGGAAAAGAGTCGTGACCGATCGCCCAAGCGGCTAACAAGCCGATCAGTGGCGAAGAGGATAAAAGTAAAAAAAGTAAAAGAAGATCGTGACGAGTGACGGACCATCTAGAATTCTAGATATCTGAACGACCTTCTTATAACCTACTAGTTTCGTTGCCTGATTCGCCTTCTCACAATGTCTCGAGAACTTTAAATTAATTGTCGTCTTACTTTTCTACTTTTATCCTCTTCACCACTGATCGGCTCGTTAGCCACTTGGGCGATCGGTCACGTCTCTGTTACACACTGTTGGCAGGTACTGGGCACTATTTACTCTACACTCTGCACACAAAGATAAATGAAGCTTTCATCATCGCTCACAATGGATCTTGAATGTTTCAGCTGTAAGCAGGTATGTGTTTTTTACAGTAACACATATGCATTCATTCTTAATTTTAAACATACGAAACATAACATGAGATACTAAGAAATTCTGGAACATGACAGAAAACGGACATCTTAGTAGGGTGACTCAACAAGTCATATATAACTACATGTTTTATGGGCTGTGGAGCGTAATGAGAATCATCTGATTTTACGTTTACTAACATGTATGGCTGTGGTCATCACAACCTAACTTCCTAGCCCCCAGACCCCCGCCATATTAAATAGAAAGGGTCAAGTTATGATGGTAGCCATGTTCCGATTTTTCCACAACAAATACGTTTTTCAAACAGTTCAGACTTTTCTAAGACACTTTTCTTCTATGGCATTTCCGTAGGAAATTTATATTTTTCGGGCATTATAATAGATAAAATTACCAAAGATATTACTTGTTTAAAGTGGGCAGGGCTTTGAAGTCGTGACCGATCGCCCAAGCGGCTAACGAGCCGATCAGTGGTGAAGAGGATAAAAGTAAGTAAAACACTGCCCACTTAAAACAAATAATATTGTTGGTAATTTTTTCTATTATAATACTCGAAAAATATAAATTTCCGACGGAAATGCCATAGAAGAAGTGTCTTAGAAAAGTCTGAACTGTTTGAAAAACGCGCATGTAATTAAGAAATTGAGTTGGGCCCACTAATGCATTAATACTCAACCTTTTCCCCAGTGATCTGAATTGCGTCTGTGATTTTCGAAACAGTTACCACCCGAAACATTTTCCCCAAACAAACTAAATCTCAGAAGACATTCGTTCCCGAGTAGGGTTGTCAACAACTGGAATGGGTTACTTGAGTGTGTAATGAATATGGAGACGGTGGAAAAGTTTGAAGCAAAATTAGATAAATACTGGAAAAATAAAGAACAAGTATATAATTATAGGGCACAAATATCCGCCACACGCAGCGACCGTCCGAGTAGAGACGAGGTTATTGAGCTGAGTGACAGGCGTGAGCCTCCTCCAGAAGATCATGTGTGAGTTGCATCAAGGATCTCTGGAAGGAGCAATAATAACAATGTTTAAAAATTAGCACAACCAAGAAAGGTGATCCCGCAATTTTTCTTTAAACAGACGATCTGAAGCTAACATATAATAACGTAACACAATGAAACAATCTTAGGGAAATGTGGTAAAGTTAGGTTAGGTTTAGTTACTCCGTATTGCCCCTAATTGATTGATCTTATAGTTCAGTTCGTGGTAATAATTGTTAACATTACAGTCTGTAAACACAACACCAGACAGCCGCCGACCCCTGGAGGAGGTGCAGGAGGCTCGCCACTCTCTCTGGCTTTAGTATTGGTATTTGTAATTTAAAACAGTGTTCCTGATATCAGCTTGTATGTTGTGATCACACCCAAAAGACCACCTGGGAAAAGGTTTACATACGGTGTGAAGATTAAGGAACTGACAGGACACCAGGTAAACATTGCCTTCTTGAGGAGTCAGTAGTGAAGAGGGTAAAATAAGGTGCTGACAGTCATGCTTTATATTCAGTTAATGTTATAGTTGTGTACAAAATCTGTAATTATTTGTGTTATGCTAAAATGTGAAGAAATTAATTATTTATCTTAAATATTCCCCAAAAAAATTCTGCTGTTTGTTTCCAACTGATCCGCTCGGTCAGGAGGACTCCGACATCCACAAACAACGTAAATTACATCATGACACTTCAACAAAGTTACTTTCATTGGTACCAGATATCAGAATAAGTTCTTTCTCTTTAAAATGGCGGGTGAAACGAGAGGTAAAGTTAGATAGGTTTCTTTAGCTGGTTAGGTCAGGTTCTATTAGGTTCTTGACTGTTGTTAGTTTGGTGGACAATTTTGGGCTCATTTTGTTCAATATTTGATGCTTAATGCAATGGAGATAATGTTTATTGTGTCAATGCTAAAGAAGTGTGTTTTTCCAACTTCTGAGTTCAGAAACACGAAATAAATAAAAATTTACTTTTTCTGTTGCTACAACCTAACCTTGACTAACCTAACCTTACCAATCATAACCTAATCTAACCTAACCTAACCAATCGTAACATAACCAACCTAAACAATCCTACGTGTTGTTACGCAGTGAAGTCACAGAGTGGCTGGTGTGGAGAAGGACCGAGAGTTCGGAGGGGCTGGGACGGTCAATACCATCTTCAGTCGATAACTTTCACTGCTGACAAAAACTGACTTCCATAACAAAAATCACTTTCAGGTATTACTCATTTCCACAATTTCGGTTTCAGTTTCTTCATTATTTGTTGATTTTCCATAGAAACAATGGAGTAATGTAAAAAAAAAAATTTATTTTGTGATTATCAACTCGGAAGTTGAAAAAAATACATATATATTATTATTTTAGCATTTCCACAAAAAAATGCTCCATATTGACCAAAAATGTCTGCCAAATTAGCAACACTCAAGATCCAAATATTGGCCGTCAACTCTTTTCAAATTAACAAATCAAACAATTCCTTCTGGTGGTAGTGCTGTTCTCAGACATTACCTTAATATGTGCTGGACAGAGTCATGTTTGACATTTAGTTCATGTTATAATTGTGTACAAAATCAATAAATATTTATGTTTATACTACATTGGTACATATGTCTCGCAGGACACGCTATGACTCGTGATGTGGAAACAATATTGATATAATTTAAGGACAATGGGAATTAGCACCACCAAAGCGTGGGTAGCATACAGGAATTAAATCTAACTTATTGCGAATAAGTAGGCGGTGACATATAGTGGTTAGTGACTGTCCCTGTGGCAGGAGGTCCCTGACAGTGGGACAGTCAAGGCAATACAGTAGTGTTGAAGGGTGTTTGTGTTGGGACAGTTACAGAGATTACAGGAAGAGAAGTGCACGTCATCCCCCACCTCAGATACTTGCCAGATAGGTCTGTATCCTAACGTAACGCCAGCAGAGACAACATTGACGACCATAAGTCCACGTCAGCGATACTTGTGTGTATAAGGAAGAAATTGATCATGGTCTCGGATGGATATATTTTCAGCCGGTTCACTATCCCAGCGATGAATTGTAGGAAGAGCAGCTGAATGTATTCTCTTTCGGTAAGTTATGCTGAGCTTATATTTAGGTCTAAAAGATCCTGATTGGATGGCCATAATTTCGAGAATCAGTTATTGATTTTGATACTCCTACTGAGACAACAGGCGTTGCAGTGTTCATTAACCCCTCTCCCCATTATCGATAGTTTTTATTAACTGTGCCTGTAAATAAAGAAATATAATTTTGCATGTTGTCCAAAAAGCAACTTTGATTTTGCCCAATGTGTTTTTTTTTCTTTTTTAGATGAACAGCTTATTAATTATGTTCAATGCATTCGCTCAAGTGTAGTACTGTGTCATCATCATATGTATTGAAGGCTATAAATGATATGTTAAAGAATTCTTCCTCCTCCCCCATATTGATGAAAAAAGTTTATTAAAGCAATTTTCTTTATTTCAGGCTGTCAGAGCCACTCACAGCAGGGGCAGATCCAGGAATATCAAATGAGGGGGTCCAAGAAGTTGTGGGTAAGAGAGCATGGTGAGCACAGCGAGCCCACCCAGCTGGGGGTGTGGGGTGCTGTAATGCCCCCCACCCCCGATTTTTTTTACATCTGATCATTATCATGGCCATTTTGAGGCCATGTGCACTTGATATTAGAAGATATTCTGAGGTCAGTAGTAATTACTTTTTACTGTATAGAAATACCTTAGTACTGTACAATATTGCATTTAAGAAAAAGTTTTGGAATTTTCTGATGAAAGGGGGGGGGGGAGGAGTCCAGGACTCCCCCTGGATCTGCCTCCCACAGGAAGCTCCTCTACTTCTATCAGCACGATGCAGCAAACTTGAAAATGTAAAGTACCTCATACAGCTCAGAGCCAACGTGAACCACAAGGAAGAAGTGCTTGATGTTGTAAACAATTAGTCATACTGAGAAAAGTGGACAAGCTTGTGTTGTTGAAGGATACTAGCTCAAAGGTAAAGGGATTGATGTACAGTGAAACCTCCCTATAACAAACTTCTCTATATATAATCCGTGAAATGGGTGTTTCACGTCTAATGACCCCTCGATATAATAGACTTTCTGGTGCTGCTACATATAGCGTGTGGTCTACAAAGTTATCTTTAGTCTAACCTGACCTAACCTAACCCAGTTTATTTCACATGAAGGATAAGTCACCCCAGCTTATTTCACATAGAGATTCATCACCCTAACTTAACACCTGTAGGTTCATTATTTGTCTATTAAGTGATGGACTGGAATCACACTAAGATTATCCCCCTTAATGTCATCGACTGATTAAACACCCTAATGCTATCAGGAGGACTTAGGCTTTGTTATGTTAAATTAAGTTAGTGGTATGTTTTTGTTACTCTATGTCACCACCAAGTTGTATGTTGTGGAAATATCTTGAGGTTGTAGTTTTGTGATAATATCTTGTGGTGTGGATTTATTGTACAATACTTGATAATAACATATAGTGTACTGTAATATTATTATATGCTGATAACCACAAAGGAAAAAGTACACAAAATTCCTCGCCCTCTGGGACAGTATTCAGGGTAACAAGAAGTCGGCTGTACCCATGCCCTGTGTAAACTGGGCAGCACCTCCCCCCTCTCCATGATGTGCCTCGACGCCCTCACCGTCCACGTCAAGACGAATCTCCTGCGTAACATTGGACAGGTGAGTATTGTATTATCAAACATACATACAGTACATGTACTTATAGGAATGATTAAATAAACATTAGAAAAATTATCAGTAGCTGTTACTGATCAAAGAATTTATGGCATTGTATAAAAGTTAGAGTGAGCAGTGCATGGGTTGTTGTTTTCACGGTGATAATGACGACTTAATGTGTTGAAGACCCAGATGTGATGTTTACTGATATGATTTACTTCACAGGTGTGGTGTGATGCTCCAGCTGTCAGTTGGTATTGAAGATCACCTGAGTTTGATGCATCGTTAACCTGGGTGTGCCGACTGTTGCTTCAGTGCTGGTGTTGACCCAAGACAGAAGATGTAGGAGTGGTCATAACTTGTTCTAACTGGACAGAGGTCAAGTGAAGTGAGTTAGACCAACACGAACACCTCTGATGTGATCGTCCAAGAGTTAAACATTACTTATGTCACAGTAAAACTCTTACCACCGGTGTTTTAAACAACATCTTCCCTCTCCGACGAAGCGCCTTCTTCTAGGAATTGTTCTTTCAAGTATTAGTTTTAATTGCTCGAGCCTCTTCCCCTCCATGTGGGACCAAGTAGGATAGGGTTGCTAATCCTGTCCACCTTCGCTGGCGCTAAAATCAAGACTTTTGTACTATCATCATGAACCTCTATTCCTCTCAATCAGCAAGGACAAGTCCTATATCTCACAGAGAACAGTAGTTATTAGTGCATTTGATTGGGGAGGAAAGGGTTCTGCAGAATAAGAACACATGTGGAAAGATTGTTGGTTTAAAGAAGCAAACATGGATCTGGATAGCAACCATATTCAGCACTGAGGGATATGGGCTTCACGGTCTGAACAACAACTAAGGAAAATTTGGGAGCTCATTAAAATAAAGTGAGTTCATAAATTTGTAATTTGTTGCGAAGTAGAGGTTAGTTTAACTATAGTGGAGATGACTACGAGTATAATCTCTGAGACAACTTACCTAATTCATTTGCATTGAAGGTAGAGACTTCTTATTTGACTCCCACCTTACAAAATACATAATTTTTTCAGTACCCCTGTATTATTGTTTCGGTCATCCAGCGAATTTTAGGATTTTAAGTTTAGGTTAGGTTGAAATTATGTTTTGAACAACTTTCAAATAGGTTGATGACCGAAACAATAATTTGACCTTAAAAAAGTAAATTCGTCACAAACTCCTGTAAACTTATACATGTTACACCAATAATACAAATGATTACCAAGTTTTACAAATAAGTACTGTATTATGTTTATATTAAAATATAATAAAGCTAAATAATTTGTACCAAAACAGGCCTAAGTAGCATAACAGTAATCTATTTTGTAGATAGGTGTACTGTACGGGTATATATTTTCCTTACCCTATAATTTCAAAATTGAATATCTTGCAGGACAAAGAAAGAGCGTACCATTATGAAGACGGAAGTATTTAAAACTGGTGGTTATGTGCCTCCTGCAGAAGCTAGTCCAGAAAGCTAAACATTATGGCTTCTGAAATCAGAGATCTTGGCTGTGAATTTGATTCAGACACACATCAATGTAAGTCTCACACTGAAACTAAGAAAAAAAATCACAATAAGTAGTGATGTTTAATGGAATGTAACAAACTTAGCCCTGATGTGTACCGGGTATTGCGTAAACAACATAATCCTCCATTTGCTCTCTTACTCTCATTTATTCTCGTGTCGGGATTCAGTGTTCCAATTACATTTGTTAATATTTCTGTTCATGTAAATATATGTAACAAATTGTTAGTGCCGACATGAACCCCTCTTGTTAAGGAGGTTGCATATTTACACCTTGACTTAAAATAGCCTTTTATGCCAATTTGTCACCATTTATCAAATTTCTCTTGCTGTATTAGTGATTACCCTATACAGTATAACAATAATTCTAATATCATTTGAAGTTGGTGGAGCAACAAGTCAAGTCCTTATTATTGATGTGGATCGGTCACTCCATTTAATGAATGAGGACCACAGCTACTACGTTCAAAGCTTGCCTTCCACACATCTTGTGCCTGAGATTAGCTGCAAAAATCCTACAGCAGAGGCCATGCGGACATACCGTTGCAAGACACAAATTTGCAACCTGGACCCTCCACCTCCTCTCAGAAAAAGAAAATGAGAACGTCATTATTTGATGAAATCCTGTATGGCCCAGCCAATAGGAAAAAATTTACCATTAAAAAGCAGGACATAAATCATACTTTTTTGAGGACACGACAGCTGTTGGTGGATAACAACTGAAAAATAATGATCAATATAGAAATTGCAAATAATCAGAAGTTGTATTCAGAGATACAGATTCAAACTGCAAATCAAACATTAGAAAGGATAACTATGGAAACAGTAGGGGTGAGAGATTCAAACATTCATAATAGATGATGGGGAAATAATTATGTACAGTATAGTATTAAATTATTTTTTATTGTGTTCTCTGTCACCCTTGTTTAAGAGTTAATAGTGCTGCAATCAGTTCACAAAGAACAAGTCTAGTGTAATTTACTACATAACTATTGTGATTTACTACATACAGTAACTACAACACTGATTTTCTACCAGCCTATACAGTAATTTAGTACATAAAATTAGTTACTGTATTTACTACCTAACTATAATTGAGTACATAGTTCATAACATCTGTGATTTACTACCTAACTACCGTGATTTATTAAAACAACAAAACTAAGAGGATAGTGCTTCAGATAATCGTGAAACAAGTGTTGCTCAAACTCACTCACAAAAAAGGAACTTGTGGGTCTGGGTAACCCATTTCTTTTGTATAATGTGAAACATTTTTATGTTGTATCAATATTTATTCCCACCCAATTGGTTACTAAATCTGTGGTATGTATAGCAGTAATTAACTGCATATATAGTTTAGTTATAAATTTTGTAATGCCAAATTTCATGTTTTATTTATAAATTTATTACATACAGTATTGCATAATTACAGTGTTGCAGACTCCTGATTATAGATCATGTTTAAGTTAACAAATGTGTGATATGTCACAAATAAATACATTTTACAGAATCAAATATTTATTTCTCCTTAAAAATATTACAAATGCCATTCTTATTGACAAATATGACTCTGAAGTCCTATATATGCATGTTGTAAGTCTATATATATATATATATATATATATATATATATATATATATATATATATATATATATATATATATATATATATGCTGATAACCACAAGGAAAGAAGAAAACACGAAGTTCCCAAGCTTTCGTGTAATTCATCTTCAGGGGTGAGTACAGACTAGGCATATACCTAGATCACGCACCTACAGTGATTTATATATATATATATATATATATATATATATATATATATATATATATATATATATATATATATATATATATATATATATATATATATATGAATACAGTACACGAGAGATCTGAAACCAAAACTAAAGACAATATTAGATATGTAGCAAATGTGTGTCAGGTCAGGTCAGGTCCCCAGTGAGAACGTGTTCAGTCAGGAATCGTTGGTTCAGCTGAGGGAAGCACCTGTTGTAAGGTACTGTTACCTGTGTGTGGGTAAGTGCAGAAAACATTTATAGTCCATGAGCACGTAGGCGTATGAGCGTTCGAAAAGTTACATGGTTGATATGAATAAGAACATTACTGTGTTGAAGTGAAACACATAAGGCAGTAAAATAAATGATCTACTTTTATGAATATAAATAGTAAGTGTTTTGTTCAAGTGAATGTGAACAGCTATTAAAGGTGACGTGTTTGTTAGTTGTTTTGATATTTGTCATCATTAAGTAGAGGTAATATGAAGGGTTTATTCATGTACATAACACAAGAACAAGTTTGATGTGTGGTAAGTGTGTGTGGCACCCAACCCCTTTATCACCAACCTTTACCTAGGAGATAACGATATCTTATTCAAAGTTAATTAAACCAGGTAAATCAGATACTGTGATACTCTGTTAGTTAAGAATACAACACAACATCGCACAAATATTCAGGTGTATAATTGAGCCAAAATACCGCTTAGGTTTATCTCTAACCCCACCTGAATATTCGTATGTGGTTTAATGAATAGTTGTAAATAAAGGTGATATGGTAATGATAAGAAATATTATGTTTGTTGAGTGGAGGTACAAGAGGTTGTGTTGAGTGGAGGTACAAAAGGTTGTGTTGAGTGGAGGTACAAGAGGTTGTGTGGAGGCCTCAGGCACATCAGCGCATGACGTCACGGATTGGCTTAGTGGAAAATGGCCGCCATGGCCCCGAGTCCAGGAGGAGGAGCTGGTGAACACGGTGTGCTGGCGTTAATACTGTGCCTGTTAGTCCTCCACAAAGAAGGTAAGACGCTTATGAATTACTGTATTATCGCTTAGTGTGTTTGTTAGCGCGGAGGATCTCGTTATTAAAGATATATAATCATTGTTTACATTTTGATTGTTGAGTGGTGGGCAGACTGGTACCAACGTGAGGCTTTATCTGCCTCACTGCTCACCCAACACACACTATTAACTCATTCACGGGCAACAACAGCTATAGGTGTTATATACCCACTATGAAGAAATGTATCCTAAGAAGGGGGATAAGTTCTCACGAGTGGAAGTATCGAGATATATTTCCTCTTATTTAGTAAATTGATGAATGAACTTTGTATTAGATTGAGTGATGTGAGGGACAGTAAGCATGATGTTAGTGGCAGGGAACATATACTGTGGTAATAAACGTGCCTCTATATCGAGAAAATACATTGTCATGATACTGTACGTTTTTAAAAATTTGAGTGATAATGTAGATGTGTGAAGTTATTAATGTTAGATGTGCAGTATATTTTAAAGCTTAATTATGTTGTTAGTAGTGTGAGGGCCAGTGACTTATTTAGTGTCCACTACATCACGCCAAAAGATCTTATATTTGTTATTAATGTATGAAGAGGATAAGACTGGAAACTTTGTGAAGTATCAGATATTTCTTCATAATTTATCATTCATCAAAACCAACTAATGTACCGTACTTTACCTAAAAGATATAATCATGTTTAAGTGAAGGTTAAGTTTAAGTTAGGTTGTTTGGTTCTACTGTTGACTCCTGGCCTGGATCAGATGTGATGAGGGTATTATTATCCAGTGTGACGCTACCAATCATCGCAGGTTTTCTCTGGGTGCTCCACTTTCCTCTTGTACTAACACTGGACAATGAAGGTCATAACAAAGAAGAGATAGTGAACAGCTAGTAAACTTATAAGTACAGTAGTGGAAATAATGGGTTAAAATGTTTCATCTTAATAATTACTTTAAGAGGTGTGGTCTTTTGATGAAGACTGCGTCACTAAGCATCCCGTGCTGGCCAGATCCTTCCCACTCAGCCATATGTCATACTGAGAGGATTCCTCCTGTAAGCAGAAATGTTGGAACAGTGGACTGGCCCTATCAACAACCCAAGTTCCTCTCACTAGCCTCGTGGGCTGGCAGATGCATCTCTAAGGTTGCAATTTGGGTCTGGATCTCTCTGTCCAATGTTTACTAATGTGGAAAAGCCGTTCCTGTTACTGACGCTACCTGTGCTGAAAGAGTGCGAGATGAGATTATAAATGTCAGTACGGGTATTTGCATCAAAAGATCACAAGGGGTTGAGATTTCCGACCGTAGCCAGGAGTACCAGGGGTTTGTCCAAGAAATTTTATGGGTAATACTTGACGAGAGTGATTTGGTTTTATCACCAACTTCGGGTAATTTCTACGTAGAGGGTATGAGCTTACTTACTCTGAAAAAACTGACAAACGATGCTGGAAGAATGAGTTTTGTATAATTTCACTTTATGGTTTTATATACAGGTATTCTTCTGTGTGTAAAGGAAGTGCCTCTCTGCATTGTTTACTTTTACACATCAGTTGTAGTTTTCATTTTTTTTTTTAGATACAGCTGCATTCTTTAATATACAGGATGGTTCATAAAATAAAGAAAACTAAACTACTAAAATATATGTAATATGAACTACCACTGCAGCTATTTTTTTATTTTATCTGTCTAAAATAAAATAAGGAGCATCTGCGTGACCTGGTACCGTGCAGTACCTTGGGTACGTGTACACAGTAATTCCTGTACAGCTAAAATCATGGGGTAATTATATAGGACTAACCAGTGAGCGAAATTGGTTGAATTTTTTTTAAAACACCAGATTTTCACTGTTACAGTCGACACTGTTGCAGTTTGTGGAGATATGTAAAAAAAAATTGGATATTTTAAAAATATACGTTACTTAACATTTGTGGGTATGAAAAACAGACCTAACCAAACATACCTACGTAACCTCCTTGCCCCCCCCCCCCCAGGTCCCTGGTATATTAAACAGAAAGAACTTACAATGATATGGTGAAATTTGAGGCATTTTCTGGGCGTGAGATGATAAGGCCGCGTCGGCGCTATGCACCCCGGGCGGCAGAGTGATTTACTGTGTTGGCGGGTTCCACAATAAATGATTATCACATCAGAACTCAATGATGAAAATAATGTAAGAAAATAAACAGTTTCTATGTAAAGGAACAATGCCGTGATCTTTAAACAATTGAAGGGTCTCGTTGTCTTTATCCCTAAATTCACAAATTATGTCCATGTAAGATCGGCGACAATCATCACACGACATGCTGAAAAACAAACTGCCCCGGGCGCGGGAAAAGCCCCTCGGCCAAGCGTGGCCTCATTACCGCCCGAAGATAAACTATTGCATGCCAAGGTGCCTAATTGTCTATGAAATGAACAATTTCCACAATAAATGATTATCATATCAGAACTCACTGACGAAAATATTGTAAGAAAATAAACAGTAATAAAAATAACTCGCTCACAGGTTAGTCCTATATTTTAACCAATCATTTACTAATTCTAAACCACACTGATATAATTTGTATGTTTTAAATATATTTTTACCCAGTAGTTTTTTTAGAGCTCTGTCTGATTCTGCCTCATTTATAAGTTCTTTAGAATAAAATAATAATAAGTGAAGGTTTTGTTGGATAGTCCCCTTAAAGTACTCTACTTGCGTTGTTATTTGCTGTGGCAATATTGTTGGGTTAATGAAAATTGATTTCCGTATATTTCATTCATATTTTTATATTTATAACCCAAGACCACACATGGAGCATTACCAATTAAAATAAATATCTTAAGCATAGCATACACATATCCTGTGAAAATTGGGGAACTGTACCCAGCTAGGTGGCCACACAAACTTCCAATAAAATTACACTCCCTTTTTTATATACTGTTCGTATTGTATTGCTACATTCTATAATATATTGTTCATATAAGATGCACAATTACTTTTTATTTATTTTCTGGAGGTAAGAAAGCTTTGTCCTCTATGGAGAAATTTTGGTATCATTTTAGTTTTGGTCATTTGGAGAATTTAACTGTTGGAGTCAGCAGTTTAGACAATTCTAAGACACTTCTTCTATGACGTTTCCCTCAAACGACATACATATGCCGGGAAGGGGGCAGAGCCTCCCAGTTAGGAGGTTAGGTCAGATCTTTTGCGAGGGATACATCATAGGAGAAAAGTGTCTTAGAACTGTCTAAACTATTGATTCCAATAGTTAAATTCCCAAGATTCTTGATGTTAAAACAAAGCTGGTGTAAAAATTTGGTGGTTGTGGGTAAAAATAAAAGAGGACCTGATGGCCATGAAGATGTAAAGTTGAGAATAAATAGGGTTAAAGGGGGACTTGTGAGCTATTAAAAGATACCTGGTAGATTGAGAGAGAAAGATTATTTGGGCTGATTTTACTCAGTGACCCGGCTCGTCTGTTCCTACACTTTCGGCCTGATGTTTAATTAGGGGGAAGATGTAAGACTGGGTTGATGCAAATGAGTGAAAACTTAATTGTCTTTGAGTAAATACTCACACATTTATATTGCCAATATATGGTACCTATACATCATAAGGTGCCTGTAGAAGTTTGTGTTTAATCTGTACAGTATGTAGTTTGACCAGATGAACACGATAAGAACTTATGTACTGTACTATATGTGTACCGTACCCTGTAGTTGTTCTCTGAAGAAAGTGTTCTTTTGAAGTTGGTAGTACAGATTCATAAATAATAATGTACAATTTAAAACAGATATATCCCTTCTCTTTAATTCATCTATTTAATACAGTTAAGAGGACAGATGGTGGAAGATTTTCTTGGATAACTTTTAACATCAGTTTACTGTATTTTTTTACCTTTAATAGTATATACTGTACCCCATTTATCAAGGTGCAACAGTAAAACCCTTACCAAGGTCATGGACATTATAAAGATCTTCTGGAGGTCATGAAAAGCCTTTTAATAGATCTGTTACCAAATTGATATAAAATTGATCTTGAAGACAGTTGAATGGGAAATATAGCATACTATTACTGTAGTACAGAATGTGTTCTTTCGCTGTGTTATACAGTATTGTACAGTAGTGGTAAATGTTTGTTTCTAGTCACTTCGTCAAAACTGTTCTTCTTGGTCCTGTCTAATAAGACTTATCTTTAAAGAAACATAAGGTAGTCGGAAAACAAATTTTATTTTCACAGTAGAACATAAGTTGAATGTCTATTAGCGTGTCTCAGTGTCGAGTATACTGTATTTTAGTTAAGAAACATTTTATTTGCAGGGTCAAGTATAACTGACAGTGAAGTAAAGTTGAAAATGTATTGGCTCATAATAACAATATCTTCACTGGCTTGAAAAAATTCAATTGTCTCAGATATCCACGTCATAGGGGAAGATACTGAACAATACTGTACTGTATACCTATACTATACAGTACAGGTACAGTACCTGTACTGTACTGTCTGTGATGGATGACGCCAGGCCCACATGACAAGACACCTGGGTTGATCCTAGTTCCTTGGTGTACTAAGCAATCCTCGTTTGCATACAAGTCACACTGCCGTATGAAACTCTCTAATCCATAACAAAAGAAAAAAATAAGCAAAACTGTTTGGTGAAAACAGATTTACCGATTGAGATTGCCAGATGACAGTCAAAAGATGTATCCAGAGCATCAACACAACCTCTGACCTCATAACTCCTGGAGTATTGGCACTGTAAAATGAATTGGTGTAAATGTGGTATTATTTACGACAAATCAAAGCTTTTACAGTAACACTTGTCATATGACATAGCCTTTACCAAATTTACTTTGCAGTAAATTTACGTCCACGATAATATGAAGGTGGTGAAAAAGACATGTTACAGTCTCTTGGTTGTGCTAAGACGTTGAATTGGTGGGGAAGGAGCCGAGTTTATTGGTAAGTTAAGATAAACTGGCTGAAGATGACAGTTTGAAGAGGAGCGTGACATGTTATCTCTC